AAGGATACAGGCTACAGCGTGCGCCGGGAGATTGAGGTCTCTCCAGAGCAAAAGTGGGCGTTTCAGATCTACAAGTGCTCTGGAGTAATCTTAAAGCCCTAAGTGCATCGTAAGAAGACAGATTTATGAGGTCACCTGCAGGATAACCAGCAGATTGCACCTTTAACTTTATTCAAGTGCATGTAAGGTTTTGATTGTACTTCTCTTTATTACTCTTTTATTGTTTAAATTAATTTAAAAATGAAATAATTAAAAAGAAAAGGAAAGAAAAGAAAATTAAATTAAATTAAATGAAAAAATAAAATTATACATAAATATGTATATATAGAACAGTGCGGATAAAACATGTCTGCAATAAACTTTCTTTGTCTGTAACTGTAGAAATGTATTGGCTAGATGAAGCACAAATATTTTTTACCATCAACCTTAATATATACACTTTAAACATTAATAATATCTAAACGTACATGTTTATGTTTGGAAAATAACCATCAACCATTAGTCATTCACTTCAGAAACACTTGGAAGAACTCATAAGAATTCTTATAGTATTTCACAGGGCCTTAGGCCTTGGGTGGTTCAACAAACACATGGACATCAAAAACTTTGAATCAACATGGTTTTATTGATTTGAGTGAATGAGCTGCTGTTGACAATGGTTGTTCCTCTTTTTGGCCTCTTTAAGACATAGTCTAATGTCTTTCAAGACATATCTCCAGCTGCACTGACTACAACCACAGACATTCTCAAACGGCAGAGGTGTTGTGGCTGCGGTCTGGACAACTGAAGATGGTGGCTGAGGCCTGAGAGGGTTGTTTGGATGACTAGGAGATGGCTGGTGCTGGGAGATGACAGGTGAAACTGATAGTTCCTCTGAGCATGTAGGACCTGACTCAGGCTCAGGTTGAGGCATCCCTACTCCTCCATGGAGGTCAATACCCCCAACCTTCGCGATGGCGCCGACGCTGATGGCTGCCTCCGTGGCGCACACTATTTATTCACTCATACACTTATTTATCTAACACACATATTCAGTCTACATTTCAATTTGCACATAATATACCTGTACATACAACTGTCTATTGTTATATACCTGTACATACAATTGTCGATTTGTATATTTTTTATTCCTTATTTTACTTGTTCTATTTTTTATTTATTTTTATTTTTTATTATCTGTTTTTTTGTTCTGTCACTGTCATTCTGTTACACTGTGGCAGCTTCTGTCACGAAAACAAATTCCTTGTATGTGTAAACATACCTGGCAATAAAGCTCATTCTGATTCTGATTCAAATGCCACCTGAAGTATTGACAAGGCCTTTTCTTCATCTGCTGTGAGAAGGGGAGAGTCATTGGTCTAACCACCTGTTTTTTTATATTGCCATCCGCTGCAGTGCCCTCTTCCTTTTTGCCAGGCTTGCAAAGTCCTGCCACTTCTTGCAGACCTCCTTCCCTGATCTCTTAACACCCCTGGTTGCAGTTAATTTTGTAGCAAAGTCCTCCCGTATGTTTTGTTTTTCCTTATTTGTATGGTTTCCTTTAAATCTGCTGAAAATTACATATTTGTTTTGCTCTACTTTTGCTTCTCCATAAGAAAATTAATTTAATCTTTTTGAAAGGTATTTTATTTCTAATCCACATCAGGTGACGACTATTCGGTTCAAGTATGCGATTCTTCTATAGACCAATTTGGAGTAGACGTCACAGTTACGTCACTTGCAGCTGCGCGCGCATAGTGGTTGCAGAAAAACACTGGGAACAATTGGAGGTAAATGGGTCAAATCCATGGAATAAAAGAAACAAATATTTTTGTGCCTTTTGATGTCAAGATCGGAATGCAAATAATTTTTATAGAATACTGTCATCA